CAGTTTGTTCCCCCTTTTACCCATAACTGGGTGGGGGAGAAGAAATGGACTCATACCTTTCCTACGAGTTTTAGCACGCAAGTGTAATTCGAACTCGACTCTCCGATCCCTCAATCCGAGCCACAATCCATAACTCCACTGTGCCACTATATCATATATATATATATATATATATATATATATATATATATATATATATATATATATATATATATATATATATATATATATATATATATATATATATATATATATATATATATATATGATGTTATTCGCGTTTATCTATGTATATACCTGTCTTTGTATTTAGTATCTTTTAATCTATCACAGTATGTTCCTATCTATCTATCTATCTATCTATCTATCTATCTATCTATCTATCTATCAAGCAGTCTTTGTTTTCTAACTGCTATTAAGCTGGACTGTCAGCAGGAGCCCTAAACAACTCTAGATCACCGAATGAGAATCGTATTAAATCGTGCAAGTTCTTTTCGAAAAAGAGGCAAATATACTTTGGAATAAACAGCCATCACATAAAATACATATGTCTGGGTGGATGGCACAACCCACCGTTTCTTTGAATAGTGTGGGAAAGGGTGGATGTCAGTCTATCAGTAAGTGTGTATAGTTTTTTGTGTGGAGGGGTGGAGAAGCGGCACTGGGTGGCTGGTTCGACGTGGATCCTCATCGTATTTTGTTGATGCACATTTCCAGCTAAACATCCTGCCCGTAATTGTGTTTATGAAGTTCAGATTAGCAAAGAACGTTACGGATTTTACGTTATTTAAATCCGAACTGAACCGTGTGTATGCACATAGGTACGAACACATACACATGCGCAAATACACACACACACACATACATACGCACATATGCGCACATACACGTGCACGCACATGCGCGCGCAACACGGAAACAAGCAATATACTCACATACGCGCATCTACACACATACACAACACATACGTACAAACACAAGTACATCCACTCACTCACATACATGCATACAATCATACACGTACACTCACACACACACACACATACACTCACACAAACCGGCGCTGGCACATGTAGGCACAGCTGAATATGATCGCGCATAAATACTGGCGTACAGACATACATACATTTTTTTCGTTCCTAATCATTTCACCCCAAGCAAAGCAATGAAGCCACTAAGATGCAAGGAGTTTCTCAGAGTGAAAATCCCTGAGAGGACAATAAAAGAACCGAGTACAAAGAGACAGTAAATGACGATGGACATTGCATTAATTTTTTTATCAAATCGTTGATAACAGGAACACAGGAATCCGAAAGAGAGTTTCACAAAAGAGAAGTACACAAGAAGAAACTATTGGCATAGAACCTACGGTTACAACTAGCAATTTCAACATTGAAATCATATGACCTTACAGCCAATCTAGTACTGCGCTTAAATTCTTGAAATCGAGGTACCAAAGAGGAAAGCTTATGAGAACAATTTAAATATTTATAGAAAAATCACAAGGATGCTACACTACAGTTGTGGGGAAAGTGACTGAAACCGAGATGCCAGATCAGGACCGATAACACTGCAGATTCTTTTTTTGGATTTTATTAAGAATCTGTATATACATAGCAGCAAAGCTAGAGCAGATGTGGCAGCAATATTCGATGCACTAACAAATTGCAGACTTATAAATCTGCAAGATATATTATGGCGAAAAAAATTCCCAACACCACATAGTGAACCGATTTCCTAGCAGCAGACTTAGCAATTGACTCAATATAATCGCCCAAATTCATGTCAGTAGAAAACGTGAGACCAAGATGGCGCAATGAGTTGCTTTCCGGCCATGTTAATGCACGGCAAAAGGTTCTTTGAGATGCTTAATAGAGAGCAGTTTTGTTTTTGGAAGCGTTACAATTAACCATGTATGCACACACAATTGCAGTCACATTGACATATAAACACGGGCGAACTCGCACGTTCACATATATATCCAATCCCATGCAGTACACTACCGCTCACCCCACACCCAACCAGGTTTTAATTCAGACCTTTTCCTACACTGGTTGTCAAGCAAAATTAAAGCGCCCACTGTCCTGCTATTAAACCCAAGCTGTGGGTGAGAAAAGATGAATTCATCCCTTTCTAAGTGTATTTGTGCGAAAATAAACGCAACGACTTCGGCTAGAAATAGAATCCCAGTTTACGCGCCAATAACCATTACGCTACACACACACACACACACACACACACACACACATGCACATATATATTTTATATCATAAAGAAGCAATTTATATAAAGAATTAATTAGCAATGCTAATGTGATTAATAGGGAATTACTTCGCTAACAAGACTTAATGAGACATTAACTTACTATCAATTCCTTGAATAAGATCCTTATATTTGAGTTATTGTCAGATGGAAGACACATGCCAAGTACTTTCGACAATTTCAAATTATCGTCTTCAGGGTGCAATTTCCCCATACACAGGCAAACACTAAGACGAAATATGTGAAGACCGAAAAATGTTTTTTTTTTTAAATTACGCTATTTATTGACAGTTAAACATACATTTTTTTGTTTTGTTTTGTTTGTTTTTTGTTTTTTTTTGTTTTTTTTGTTTTTTTTTGTTTTTTTTAGCGTGCGATGCCGCGACGCTAGAGTTCTTGTTCAAATCAATCAAGTGAGAATTTTGATTGAATTTTCCCCTAAAGTGATCAGGCTGCCTACCCACCGCATTTGAATCTTTTGTAGTTTATATTCAAAATTTTGGGTTCTGGCTGTCTAGAACCTCGGTGTTAGTAATGAAATCACTTTAATACAGTAATATACGAACTGTCACAAAAAAATAACAAATTGTAATAAAAAGGAGTATTTTTTCCTTATTTTATTTATTATTTTTAACAGCTTTTTGTTAAGGACGCTGGATGGAGTAAGAGTGAGTGTGAGAGAGAGAGACAAAGAGTGAGGAAATGAGTGAGAGAGTGGGGAGAGATCGAAATAAGGCCTCCTTGACACAATTTGATCGGCTGTCTCCAACCGTATCGATTGCAATGCTCCGGGTGCTGAAAATAAGCCGGAAAATAATGCGAACCTTTAGTGCTCGCTCTTATATAGATGTTGCTTTTTTCCATTTGGCGGAGGTGGTATCAGCTGTGATGTGTATCTCTATAGACATGTCATATAACCGATTATACTATAAGATTATGTTACTCGTACATATATTCACGCACACATACGCATATGTTTATCTACAAGTGAGCAGTGTAACTGCTTGCGAATCAGAAAGCGAAATCAGCAGTCTGTGTTCGAATTACGGCCGAATTCGTTACGTCTACTTCCATATAAATAGCCTTGGAAAAGGTATAAATTCGTCTCTTCTCCCCCAGCTATGGATTAACCAGAGATCACGGGGATCTCATGCTTTGAGGTGGTAACTAGTCTAGAAGGAAAATTCTGAATTCAGAACCAGCTTGAAGAGAGATGAGCTAGAGTAAAGTTATCTTGCCCTAGACACACCACTGCTGCTATAACTGCAGTACATGTGATGTTGCTACAACGCTAGTTTACAGGGCACGTGATGTGACTTGCAGAGGATTACGTGCAACGATATGTTCATATATATATATATATATATGTATATATATTTATATATATATATATTTCAATAAAGGTGCAATTAATTTACAAATTCATGAATTATTCATACAAAAAACAAATACAAAGGTTAATGATTTAATTGGCGAGAAATCCATCGTCGCGAACAATTGAAATAATATACAAAAACCCCGAAATAACTGATCCAAATGCAACTTTTGGATAAGTGCGACATTATTGTAATTATTGAACAATAAAGTTCATGCCACTTTGACAGAAAATTTACCAGTAAAATAGAATTCGCTTATCACCATATTTGTATAAGAACGCACAATTGTAAAATTTAAATTCAAACTCAGCGTTGCGACTGCACGCTCCAAAAACAATAACTCATTTCTAATAGCATTTTTCGGATTACAACAGTACATATATTTTCGTTGTCCTCTTATTACTGAGAGAAAAAACAAGAACAAAATCTATTCCATACCTGAGGATGTCTGTATGAACAGACGAAAGCTTGTAAAAATAAGAACTAATGCAACAGAAATTTATAGAAACAAGGATCTTTTCATTCATAAACAGATTCGGGGTTTTTGTATATTATTTGAATTGTTCGCGACGATGGATTTCTCGCCAATTAAATCATTAACCTTTGTATTTGTTTTTTGTATGAATAATTCATGAATATATATATATATATATATATATATATATATATATGCATCAATAAATCTGCAGACTAACCTGTAGTTAGTTGAAATTTGATATTACATTTTCATTCTATAGTATACGATTTATTTGATTGATATTCGCTACTGAATTAAGTGCATTAACAAGAAAGGGAAAATAAATAACCACAACTATTACTTATAAAAGTAATTGACCGTCATTGATAAACACATTATTTCAAGAGGAGGGGGAATGGCAAAATAAGAAAGACAAAGAAATTTCACGGTGAAAGTATTTCGGGTGCCTCCGTTCACAATCTCCCATGGTGGTCATAGTTTAATGCCTTTAACCTCTTATCTGGACTTGACACCTTCGCTGATACAGGCGGAGGAGATTCTGATATCTCCCAGTATTTACAGCCTCGCCTCCACATCGACGACGCTGTGTGTGTCATTGGCCTAAGAGTCACCTGCATAGGATGGGTTTGGTTTCTATCATTAGCGATATACACAAGCTGCGGTTTTAGTTATTCAGAAGGAAGGGGTTTGCGGGGTGGGGGGTGGTGGTATACGAGCTTGTCGAAGTAACAGGGACTGGCTTTTAAGGCGTACTAACAGTGGGGCTGGATTTGCCAGGATCATAGCAGTTAATGGCGCGGAAAATGGGATCAGCGAGCTGAGTTCAAATTCACGTCTCGTCTGTTGCGTTCACTTTCGAACAAACACCTTGTGAAAGAAATGAATCTTTCTCTTCTGCCAACAGCTATAGGTTAAATAGTAGATTCTCTAGCCTTGAGTGACAGCCAGTCTAGTAAAAGAACTACTCCGAATAAAAAAAAAATGGATAAAGCAAATACAGTATTATTTGTAACAAGAAGTCGTGGCAATTCAGAGATATTAAAAAAAGGAAGTTGTGGAGAGTCATGATCGTTTACGTCTTGAAGAGATATGACATTAGATTAAATCAGTGGGACAAACCTTCCATTGTTGAAAGTTTAGTTGATCTGCTATGTGTGCCATTCTCCTATGAAAGAATGGATTGAAATTTAATACTGTTATACCTCGAAGATATTGCGAATTCGGTCCCAGAGCAATAAAACGAATATCGCAATAGGCTCCAGAGAAATAAGGCGAATATAGCAATAGAGTAATTCAGGCAAATATTTTGTCTTGCCAGGAGATATAAAAGTTATGTGAACAAAATCTCTCTCTCTCTCTCTCTCTCTCTCTCTCTCTCTCTCTCTCTCTCTCTCTTTTATGTGCCGTGCCTTCTTAAGACGTAAGCGATTATGGCTCTCCACAATTTCCTGTCCCTCACTTAATAAATTCTGTCTTTTCGTTATTTCTAAACCCTTTTCCGCCATGCATTTTTCAAGCTCGTCAAGTATGTTATGCGTTTTTATCCTCTGTCCCTCTCCCCCTCTATCTGTCCTGTAACAGATTTTCCAGTTCTTTCCTCAAAATGTACCCGCGAAATCTTAACTATCTCTTCCTGATGTTAAGTATAAGTTTACTTTTTGTTTCCATTTTCTCCCAAACCTCGTCGTTGCTTACATCTTCGGTGCATGGTATCCTCAGCATCTTTCTGTAGAACCACATTTCTGTTGCTTCAAGTCTCTTCTTCATCTTTGAGGAAATTGTCCAGCATTCACTGTAGGACAGATATCACGTAAAAATCCAGTACTATTTTCTTTGTTTCTAATGAAGTTCTTCTATGTCTTAATACTCTGCTTAGTTTAGCTTTTGGAATGTATATTAGGAATAGTATTTCATAATAAACTATGCAAACGACTTTATAAAAACAAGTGATATCAACACAAACCACCAGAGTCTGGGAAACAAAAAAATACAAAGCATTCTGGGATTCCGACTCTCAAAGCAACCAAAGCATCAAAACAAGATGGCCGTAACCGATAACTGCGAATACAAAGAATAAAGAAAACGACAGATTGGTGACCTGACTGTACCCAGCAGACCATAGAAGAAACATGAAAGAGCGTGAGAAATTCGAAAAATACAATGATTTTCTCAGGAAACATGCATGCTACAGTTGTGTCCATAATAGTATGAGCACTTGCTAATCATACCAGGAGCATTTAAATCTAGATTAGATGAATTGGAAATCCGAAGAGAGGTTGTGACCGTACTGACAATTGCCCGAGGATACTGTGGAGAGTGCTAGAGATTTTTGCAGACTCGTTGTGACTCACTCTTCAGGGATGACCATCAAACATCTGGTATCGATGCTGAAATGCATAAAAGACGGCGGCGATTTGAGGTAAAAGAAATATGGTTCTACAGAAGGATGATGTGAATAACATGGACGGAACATGTGAGCAACGAGGAAGTTATTATCTGTCTCTTTCTGATGCTAAGAAAAGTGTTCTCTTCGTTCCCATTTTCCTTAAAACTTCTTATTGCTTACAAGTTCCGTCCACATTTTTCAGTATCCTTCTGGAGAACCAGCTTTCCGTTACCTCAAGTCTCCTCTTCATCTATGAGGAAATTGTCCAGCATTCCCTATCATAGAGAGGGGATTGATATTAACTAGCAGTTAGGCCCGCTTATCTTTGTTTCCAACGAAACCTTCCTGTTTCTTAATGTTTTACTTGGCTTCTGGAAGGCATCTTTCGCTATTCCAATGCGTCTTCGGATTACTGTATAGCATTTTCCATCATCTGTTATAATTCTTGCCAGATAGTTAAATTTCTGTACTTTCTTTATTCTGAGGTTTCCGTTTGGCCATCTTGTTAATGCCAATACATTCCGTCTTGTTCGTCCTTACTTCTAAGGCTTACGACCACATCTCTTTGATGTTCACGTACGATCACCAAAGTTAAGCAACATCGAGTCTAGTCAGTACCTAGATGGGTGACCGCTTGGTAAAACTAGGTGCTGTAAACGTGGAAGTACGAGTGGTGTAATGGGTAATGGCTCGGAATTGAAAATCAGAAAGCTGTGTTCCAGTTCCTGTTAAGTTCATTATATTCACTTACGTGACAATAACCTTGGGAAAGGTATGAATCAACCTCTTCCTCTCCTCAGCTATGGATTAATTAGTAAGACTTGTACCACTAAAGCATTATTTCCTAAACAAAATCCATGCAATCTAAAAATATGTTCTGGCTTTAAATAACCTGCGAAGGATTAATAAACTGTAGAAAACGAATAAACTTTCTTCTTACATTCTTTTACTACCTTGTCTAGATAGTCCTGGGTATGACGATAAACTACATTCGGAGGCAAGGCATCTTATCGGGAGATTGCAGGTTTTAAGAAGCGTAGAGCCACTTCTTAACTGCTGTTGTTCCCAGGTCCATTTTGATTCGGGGTGGTAGCATCTGTTAGGGTCCCAATTATGGGCAAATAGTGAGCCACAAAACAAAACTGTATTAAAGTATAAAAATACATATTTATCGTAAAAATACTAGCAATATATATATATATATATATATATATATATATATATATATAATTACCAAAAATACATATTTATAGCAAAAGTACCAACAATAATTATTTATAGTAAAATTACAATATTTGTAAAACAAAATGATCAGTAATACATTTTACAGTAGAATTACCAACAATATATTTTATAGTAAAATGACCAACAACATATTTTATCTGTAGTTAAATGCATACAGCAGCGTTCAAAATGTTTAGATTTCGGGATTAAATAACCAATGGAGGTTGATATGAGGCTAAACTAAATCAACTAACCAAACCAACCTTTTCTGGAAGTTCCTTCAGTTTTCTTTCTATGTGTGCCAGCAATACGGTCTCATCTTATGTTGTTGAGAACCACATTTCTGTTGCTTCAAGTCTCTTCTTCATCTTTGAGAAAATTGTCCAGCATTCACTGCCATAGAGTAGGACAGATATCACGTAAAAATTAAGTACTATTTTCTAATTTTTTAATACTCTGCTTAGTTTAGCTTTTGGAATGTATATTTCAATAATATTAGGTTAAAAAAAAAATGACATATCTTAATTAAAAATATTTTATTGATAACAAAATGTGTCAGGAACACAGAATTAACAAATTGAGGTTGTTCAAAATGGCGCCGGTCGACTTGCTTGTCATAAACGTTCAGTTTGTATAACGGTACGTATAACAGCAATATATAATGCCTATAACGATAATTTGTATAATTTGCGAACCGCAATAAATTTAGACGTAATAAAAATGCTCATAATGATAAATTAAATTCAAATTATCCTTTGATCTAATATATAAATAAATATAAAATTACCAAAAATACATATTTATAGCCAAGTACCAACAATAATTATTTATAGTAAAATTACCAACAATAACATTTTTAAAGCAAAATGACCAGCAATACATTTTATAGTAGAATTACCAACAAGATAATTTATAGCAAAATGACCAACAGTATATTTTATCTGTAGTTAAACGCATACAACTGCGTTCATAATATTTAGATTTCGGCATTAAATAACCAATAGAGGCTAATATGCCGCTAAACAAAATCAACTAACCAAACCAACATTTTTTCTAGAAATACCTTGTTTCATTTAAATTGTTAAGATTGTGCTCACCAATAATGTATCCCAGCAAAACCTTCAGATCGTCTCGCTGTATTGGTTAAATAAATCCAGTGCGAAGACTCGTCCCCGTTTCATGTCCTTTTCTATTTGTGTGTATTTGCTTAATCCATGTTCTCGACGTATTCAAGCGGTTTGTTCTGGATTATTTTAATATCTTCCTCGAATAAAGTTTCCTAACATTTCAAATAGATCTCCGTTTTTATTTTATCTAAGAGGTGTTTTTTGCGACACGACACTTAAAAAAACACATTTTATCATATACATTATAAACAACAAAACATTACTAAAATCAAGAATACCTAGGTGACTTACTGTTAGTTAATCTCCAGCGATAGCCACCAGATACTGGTGTGAAAATTCATATAATAATGATGATAAACGGGAGGAATGCAAATAGAGTATAAACACTGACGCCATGAGCAAGCGAGAAGTAATGGTAAACGTCTGGAGTGTATCAAACTCCGCTGGGTATTGAGGGCCCCCCACAATGGGAAATACCTGACACGAATGAAAATGCTACGTCTCCATCACCGGCACAAATACGACATTCCCGCCACAACACTGTTTCTATACACGAACCTATCATTCTTCCCGCCATTCTCTTCAAACTGTTGAAACAAGATTATTTTCCTTGCTATAATATTGTTTGAATAACTACTGGAAAGTGTTTTAGAATTTGTTGAAATATATCCCGCGCCTAGACGGTAATCCTTGAAGTCGTGAGCATCTACAGACGCAGAAACGTTTGTCTAGATGTGTATGAGTGTGCGTGCATGCCTGAATTTGTGTGTATTTATGTGCGTGTGTATGCGTTTGCATATATGTGTATGCGTTCGTGTGTAATACACACATAGACATATTGGTCCACTTGATGGCAAGGATGGTTGTATATTTTTCACTGGTGTCAGGGGTCGAGAGTCGACCTCACACAGAAACAAAAGTTTTCAATGATGTTTTGTTTTGTCTTGTTTTTGTTTTGTTAGGGAAACTTGACCTAATATTTTGTAAGAATGACGCTACCTTATCTTAATCTTATTTACTTCCATTATATGATCCACTATCAAAGTAAATGGCCATATCAGGTTGAAACACCAGTTCTCACAAGATCACCAAAATAAAGCAACGTCAAGCCTGGTCAGTACCTAGATGGGTGACCGCTTGGGAATCCGGTGCGAAGACTTTGTTTCTTGGATGTGCGGGTGATGTAATGGATAACGACTTAGAATTGTTAATCGCGCAAATACTCTTGGGAACGGTATGGATCCATCTCTTTTCATTTCAGCTATGGGTTAATTAGTAATGCGTTTATCACTAAATCATTATTAGTAAGATTTGTATCCCTAAAATAAAGCTTCTATCGCTAAATCATTATCTACTAAAACATTCTTAGAATATAAAATATTTTCTGGCTTTAAATAACCTGCAAAAGGTTGACAAACCGTAGATAACAAATCAATAAAAACAAGTCGGGTTTAATATATATTAGGCGTGTGAAAATGTTTCCAGTATTTTCATTTAAAAAAAAAATATATACGGCTTTCGACTTTGTACTCAGTTTCTTTCCATGATGAGACTGGTAACATTTGTAAATACCTAACACACACATATACATGGACAGACACCTATACTTCAACATACATACCAACACACACTTATATGTGTGCGTGTGTGTTTCTGGTGTCTAATAATCGAGAGCAGAGATCGGAAGTTATTTTCAATGTGCAATAAACAGGGAGGTTTTAATTAAATGGGAATCGAAAAATTACTTAAAGAGTCAAAAGCCGCGAAACTAATAAACGGGTTTGTCTTAATAAGCTCGGGGATGTTGGAACATTTCCTAAAGAAAAAAAAAGTCCTCCAATCTCTTACGGACCAAAGTCGATGTGTTTGTGTGCATATATGTTTGTATGACGAATGGATATCATATCCGCGAAACTTCAAATAGGACAGATAAGTTTAATTTAATGTTATTTGTTCTATCTTTCGATATAATTCTATGGCTCCAGGAAGTACTTGATTCCTTTTTAGCAGGCCTTATCTTTAGAAGAATCAGATTAGACCAAATATGGAGTAATGCTACCATATCAGGGCTGGAGCTGATCAATCCTCACTTTTCAATCTTAAATACATGCGGGTCAAATGGCATCGATAAACGCCAGGAACTGATTAAACTTTTTGTACCAAAGCCTGACATTCGTGTAAATCAAGAAATAAAAATTTCACACTGAGACCTAGATATACATGATGCCACTGGGGAAAAAAAAATGAAGGGAAGACTTTAAAGTTTTGACGACCTTGATAAAATACGCTTATGTGACTGGATTGTTATATTCATATATATATATATATATATATATATATATATATATATTTGGAAATATAAAAAGCGGAAACTGAATCTCCCTTACAAGAGAATTTGGTTTAACGACATATCAAATGCTTTTGGGACATTTAATGTAGAAATTTAATTTTCTTGGAAGCTTTGGTATTTTTTTTTTTTTACTATGAAAATCTATTGTGGTCGAATTTATTTCTTACTATGAAAATCTATTGCAGGAAATTTTTTTTGCTATTAAAATCCATTGCTGGATTTTTTTTTTTTTTTTTTTTTACTATTATTAAAATCTATCACCGGTATTTTTACTATAAAAATCTATTTTTATATTTTCATATTGTTATGACCCCAATTTGGCGGTTAACTATTTGCCCATAGCTGGCATCCTAAACAGGTGCTATCACCCCGGGTCAAGGTGGACCTGGAAACACCAGCAATTAAGAGGGAGTTCCAAGTTCGTCAAAACCTCCCGATCAGAGACATTTGCTGCCGGATGTAGTTTATTGTCGTACCCAGGACGGAGAATAGAAAGGAGGCGATAACGTTAAATTTTAAATTTTTTTTTTTTTAATTTCTACTCTCTTACTTCTTTAAATAATGACCTGCAATATTTTGTTAAAGTTGTTAAGCTCAAATATTTAACGATGCAATAAGGGCATTTACACGCGTATTTTGAAGTCGTGTAATTCGTAAGGAGCATATTTATTCGTTAAATATTATAATAATTAAAAAATTACAAACAGAAAAAACCGTGAAATTTACACGGATATTACTAGTAATAAATATGATTGGAATGAACTTAATAATAATTTTATGAATAATAGTAAAAACAGATTCAAGGGAAAATTGCGACTGTTCACATCAGGACATTGCTGAGTTTGGGGAGGTTAATAAAGAGGATAGTGGAAAATTGAGAAGATGAGCTGTCATTCAGTTTTCAGGGATAATCACAAGATATTTGGTTTGAATATTCAAATAATAATAATAATAATAATAATAGTAGAAATCTCAGCACAGCTTGGATAGATTATCATAAAGCCTTTGACAGAGGCACGGTGGAGTAATGGATAGCTGCTCAGATTGAGGAATCGGAGAGCCGAGTTCGAATTCCTGTCGAATCCATTACATTCACTTAAGTGCTAATACCCTTCTTCTCTTACCAGCTATTAGTAAAATGCAGGACAGATCGGGTTCTATAGCCTTGGATGGCAATTGGTCTACAGCAGAAAGAAATGGCAACCTACTGCGGGAAAAAATCTGCTTCGTCAGTCATGTATCGAAAGATACATGATCGCCTAAGCGTGTATCACATCACATAACTGACTGAGTGACTTTGATAGTGTACCATACTTAAGATTTTGGAAATGTACAAAGTCTCCTCTTTAAATATAGCATGGAAATTGTGCGAAACCACATTGTACCTAAATCACGCCAAAGGTACTACCACTACCAATTGTTTCCATATACGACTAGGAATCTTTCAAGAAGACTCCCTGTCGCCCTTTCGCATGAAACTAAACAGCAATAACTATGAATACAAATTTAAAAAGTAAGTGTTTAATCACCTATTCTACATGAATTATATCAAAGTCTTTGAGGAAAACGACAAGAGTTGAAGTTTCCGCAATACTGTAAAATGTTTCAGTTATGACATTGGCATGGATTTCGAATGAGATAAATGTGCAAAAATAACATTCAAGAAAGGGAGAATTACAGAAATACACTAAATAGATTTAGATTTTGTCACATATATTAGGAAATTGGAACAACAATAAAGAAAAGAAGACTACAGGCGTATACGTCTGGTGTTAAATACCGAGTTGATTTTACAAAACAGAACATCAGCCACAAACACTTTGGCTGTCCCTGTGTTGTTATACAGTTTCAATATTCTTAATTGGACCATAGCTGACATTAAGCGATGTCAAAACGAGAAAGTTTCTCACTAGCCACCCATGATGTTGATTGTCTCTATGTCTCCAGATCAGATGGAGTCAGAGGATTAGTTCAACTAGAACTGTCTTACAAAACCACAACAATCAGTCTTCAAAGATACCTGCAAACTACGGAAGGCTGGATGATGATGATATGCGTCAAAAGAACATGAAAGGAATAAAAAAACTTTATTCCGTAATAAAGGAAGCCAACAAATTCAAAATTGAATTTCAAGAGGGTGAAGAATTGCAAATAAACCATAATACATCTACTGCGGCAGCAAAGGACCTAAAAAAGAAAGCAAATGTATCAAATGCAAAACGATGGAAAGATAAGCCTATTCATGGTTAATACTCTTCCCGTGCCAGACAAGATGATGTAGACAAACCCCGTACTCATCAGTGGTTACGTAGTGCAGGGTTAGAAGCTGAAAACGAAGGTTTTATTTTTGCTGCACAGGACCTTGATAACTAGAAACTACCAAGCACACATACAGAAAAATTGTGTTAGCCCTAAATGCAGATTCTGTGATAAATATCTAGAAACACTTGGCCATCTTGTATCAGGTTTCACGGTTTTGGCACCCACTGAATATAGAACTTGGCATGATAAAGTGGACCAATATATGCACTGGAAAATATGCAACTTTTACGGGAAGGAAACTGCAAGAAACTGGTATGAACATCACCCAGACCCGGTTACAGACATAGGACCTGTAACAATTTTATGGGACTTTGCAATGCACACAGACAGAATAAGCTAATCGCCCAGACATCGCGATCAAAGGCGATAAAAACAGAATGTGCTTTTTCTTATTGACATGGCAGTCCCCACAGATTATAATGTATTTTTGAAGATCTTCAAAAACTATAAAAATACAAGGATCTTGAAGTGGAAATCTAAGAAATGTGGCACATAAGGGCATCAGTAAATCTATTTGTAGTCGGAGTATTGAGGGGATTTATGCTAGCCCATGTGGTAAAGAAATACAAAAAATTGTACTCACAAGTACAGTTCACACATTACGAAGAGCCTCATCCACGTAAAATGTATGTGATCTTAGGTACTTTTTTTTTTTTTTTTTTTTAAAACTGATCAGTGGAAATGTCGTGATGCCACTACTGAACTTAGGTTTCTGGTTACCCGGAAGTAAATGTGTATACAACAAAAATCAAACAAAATACTACTACTACTAATAATAATAATAATAATGAAAAAGATGCCAGAGGACCAATAAATGTTGATTTTGATATCTCTTGATAGGTGATATTGATATGAATAGTGATCATATTTAAAAAAAAAAAAAAAAAAAAAGCTAAGCAAAGTATTAGAAGAGAGGAAAATTTAATTAGAAATTAAAGAAAAGAGTGCTAAACTGTTAAGTAATATCAACCGCCTCCCCCCTGTATGGCCGTGAATGGCCGTGAAACAATCTCATCGCATGGAATACCACGGACAGAATCTTGTAACGAGGACAAATTAAGCAAAGTGGAAACCAAATGGACACTTAGAATCAAAAAGAGACAATTGAAAATTCAGGAAATATAATGAGAAAAGAGAGATTGGGAAATTTGACACTGACAGGATATACTAAAGGCAAGAGGGACAGGGTGAAACAGCGAGTAAACTACCTAAGAAGATGGCAGAACAGGGGCTGAGAGTGATTGTGAAAATACAAGCCTTGCTAAGAGCTATAAAGGTTAAAAGTTGTGGAGAGCTGGGATGGGACACGGGACAGCAACAACAACAACAACAAAGTGACGCACGATAATCTTGTCTGGACAGTGGACGTCAAAAGAACATCAATCTATGTTGCTTTTTAAAACAATGGAAAATCAAGTGATAGTTACTTAGCATCGGGCTATCAAAAGAAAAGAAATAAAGCGAAATAGAAAGGA